CATAAATTAAACTTTAGCACTTGCTACACTGGCCGCTTGGGGTGGACAGCGTAGATAAGGCCGCGCTATATATCAGGAGATAGGGGGATGCAAATTCTAACTATTCTTCTTTGGGCTCCGCTGGTCTTCATTTGGCAAGCCGCGTAGGGCGGATACTCTACATGCCCAAGATAGAAGGGGAGGATAAAATATTGTGCTGAGATTTGCATCAGTTCTAACAAGTTTAGCGGTTGATACTAGAAGTTACTGCTTCTACTGCACGAAATCGGCAATAATCTACAACCAAAATGTTAATGACGAGTGATGGAAAAGGGAATAATGTTAAGCTTACGTTGCCGTTTCGCTTTCGTGGTCATTTTTACGTTCGTCATTTTTATCTTACGCCGCTCCTTTATTTGATTAAGGTGCTTATTACGAATTAAACTGTAACTCTAACCGCTAAGTGTAGGGGTCGATTTTAGATTTTGTTCCAGGACGACGATCGTAGTTGTTTGCGGTTTCTGGAAACTTTTTTAGAAAGTGGGAATATAACGGAAAGCTTAGCATTTCTCTTTGAAATTATAGGGTGAACGGATGATTTTTATTAGTGCACAATATACCTACTTAATAAGAAATGGACATGCATAATCACTTTGATTTACTTTAGTTTACATTTATGAGACCGAGACTTTTATTCTCTTCTCTTCATTACAGTATATGTGTCAGAGGGGTATACAATGAAGATGATGACATGTAGGTTACTAATTTAGGTGGAAACAGAGGGCTGAAAGAGTTTTCTATTTGTGATAATTAATGCATTCATCAATTCGGATTGAGGGAGGTTAAATGACTTTGCGTAATAACGATGCATTTTAGTTTGAATAGCCTTAATCGCGTATAAACTTTACCCTCGTTTAAAGAAAGCGGTGTACCTAGATATGTACTAATTGTTTCTTTTCTTGCAGATGACTGCCATCGTCCAACTTCGGAAGGTGTGAGTGCTTATAAATATCATTCTTAAAAAAATCTATTAAATGTTTTCCGTGACACACGTTAGGCTCAAGGAAGGAAAACGCTCAGAACGTCCAGAACACCTATAACACGCGGGCACTTGCAAAAACGCGAGTGAAAAACAATTATTTAAATACGCGTTTTACAGAAAAATTAATAACTTCTTATTTATTTATCGACATGAACGCCACTTTAACTAAATATAACAGACGAAATGGTCTATCCGAAAAATTGTCCCAACCGTTTGTGTTCATATTAGCACAGATTTTATCTGTTTAGTTTTCCGCACCCTGTGGAAAACTGTTTCAATATTGAACAACGCGCGTGAACAAAAAAATTGAGAACTTTTTTATTTATGGATCGATATTGATGAAAATTTATTCCAACATAGCAGACCCATGGGTTATCCGGGACGGTGTTTCAGTCGCTTGTGTCCACCAGATTTTCCGAGTCCTGTGGAAAACTCTTGTCAGATTGACTAGTGTAACTCTGCGTTTCCGTTAGGATTGAAATTCTTTTTGTTTGATGTTTTTGTACTATGCAAATTGTATTTAATTCTGTAAGTTGAAAGTTACAGGAACGTCATAGAATTCTTTTAAATTGCGTGGTAGGGTTAGGTGACTTTTGGCGCTCCATAAGCTCAGGTTCATAAATTATAAAAATGCGGTACAGCTGAATCATTTCCGGTCGTAGATAAAGCAGCTACGGAGCTTGGAAAAAAACCTGCATACGAAAAGGCAATCGTAAAAAATATCAAGAAAACTTCAATAGTATTCCTTCTGGGGATCCAAGTTCCATATCCATTCTATATTGTCCAGCTTTAAGGCGCCATTTTTCCAGAAGGGCTTACCAAATTGTACCATAGGGAAACCATTTTAAAAAACCCTGTGATTTTTTTAAATTTGTATTCGATAAGTTCCCTTTAAAAAACTAATTTCACTTTTATTGGAAGCAATCAGAAAACTTCTCGATGTTCTGTAAATCATTTAAAATTTCCTACAAATGGCTTTTGTTTGCTATACTTTGTTTCACTGGTGCTGAACCTGACGTCATAAATGTGATTCTCTCTTCATTACATTTAAATCGATTGAGACAAAAAAATTACGTCATTAACGTAAGTCGTGACAAACAAAACAAATTATTGATCTGTCAATAATATCAATCCGTCAAACGATTTTCGTTAAGGACAGATTTCCAGTGTGCCTTTTGATTAGGTAGTTTGTGTCAAAAGTGAAGTTGATGATATTCATCAAAGTTGAAAACGCTTAGGCAAGTCCACAGTGCAGCAAATCCGTTAACAGACAAGTATTTTAAAAATTTTACATAATGGTTCGATTCGCTCATATCATGAATTTAGGTCATTACCGGGGTAAATAGGTAAATATGACGAACCGATACACAGAAGGTGAGCAAAGTTTGATTTTGAAGTTGATTCAGTACTTCCAAAGGGAAAAAGAAGCAGGCAAAACTTTATTACCCGTAAGCGCAGTATATGATGTAAGTGTTTCCTATGCGTTTGCTATAATTATATGCTTACTTAATCACAGAGGGTTTGTGCTGCTCTGGGTGTATCGTTGTCGACTGTAAAAAGAATTAGTACAAGAGGTGTTAAAAAAGATGACGATTACAAATCGCAAAAAAGTGTGGCTATTAGTTTATCTCACGGACCTCCGCTGCATGAAATACATGAACATGTAATAAGGACACGGATTTATGCAATGTATGCCACAGGTAAATAACATTCTTTATGTTCTAAGGGAAGATTTGCTTCAAATGAAGAGGTTCGCTAGAACACTTATTGAATTGATTTTATAGGTGAGAATGTGTTACACTCCGTTCTTTACACAGTAATCTTCAACGACTTGATGGCATAGAAATATCTGCTACCTCTTTGTCCCGCAGTTTGAAGAAACTGAAATTCACGTGGCGGAGATGCACCGTTTCTATAGATTATTTTTAATGGAACAGCCCTATGTAGCTCAAAGAAGACTACAATTTTTGAGGGACTTTAAACACAACGAAACTTCACTCTTTCCATTACGACCTGTGGTTTTAGACGAAACCTGGATATACAGTAAAGGGTCTTTTAGAAGAAGCTGGCAAGATGGTACTCTCAAAACAGTTAGAAAAAAAAGTAGTGAAGGGGTCCGGTATATAATACTCCATGCAGGATCAGAAGATGGATTTGTACCACACGCAAGTCTAATTTTTAAATCTGGTAGCAAGTCCGGAGACTATCATGACTCCATGAATTGCCTTAACTTTGAGAAGTGGTTTGAACAACAATTGCTCCCGAACTTGGAGGAACCTTCTCTTATAATTATGGACAACGCTTCTTACCATTCAGGATTGGTAGAAAAAAGTCCAAATCAATGCTGGACAAAAATGTCACTTATAGAGTGGCTAACATCACGAGACATTACATTTGCACCAACAATGATGAAAGATCAGATCTGGGAAGTAGTGAAAAATCATATACCACCAAAACTATTTAGGTAGGCACCGCTGATAATTAAATGTTTGGTTGCAGTTAGGTAGACCTTTGGATAGGAAGCAGATTGTTATGGTTTTTTTTCACTCCACGTTGATTTTTACAGATTGGACGAACTGGCATTACAACATGGTCATCGTGTTTTGAGACTTCCTCCATATCACTGCGAGTATAATCCAATCGAAATGGTATGGTCAGAATGCAAACGGCATTACGATGCAAGGATCGGTTCAATTCAGCCTGTCACACACAGTGCCGTTTTGTCTTTATGGAATGAGGCACTGCACAAAGTAACCTCTTTATATGCTGTTTTGTGAAACAGTACTTAATAACTTTAATGTTTAGGTTACACCGGAAAAATGGAAAAGATATTTTGATCATACAAGAGGCATTATAAACCAGGCCTGGGAACGGGAACAACATATTGATACATCAGACATCTTACCGGTGATTATCAACTTGGACGAATCTGATAGTGACGAAGATTATTATGATGATTACATTCATGAGGCAGAAGAGAATGAGCGTGTTTAAGAATATTATTTTTGGGCCGTTTATACATATATACCTACTTGTGATGTAGTGTCGTTTTTTCTTTTGTACATACGATTTGAATATGAACATTTGAGAGTTTTTTCAGGAATAAATATCTTCACTACCTGTTTTCTCTCACAATTGCGTTTTTTTTTAATAAATCGGATCAGAAGATATTCAAGATCCTTATGCGAATATCTCGAGTGGTGCAAAAGAACAGAAACTGTATGTATGCGTTGTTATTTCAATGAGCCTGTGGTATAATGCCTACGCTTTATCTCAAATTTGTAAGATATATAAATGCGAAAGGCTTACCGATAAACCATGGCAAAAAAAAAAATGGCTAGTTAAGGGTCATTAAAATTCGCGCACCTTAACGCGTATCCTTCACATTGGTAGCATACTTAATTTCACATCAACATTAGGTAAACAAAATATTTATTTACGAACTGCCTAAACAAACTTTAAGTTACAAATGTTCCTATGCGTTTTCTGTAACCATCATACACTTCATCTCAAAGAGTTTCTGATGCTCTGGCAGTATCCATTTCGACTGTCGTCGGTGCAAAGAATCGGTTACATGAGGTGATTACAAACGGTGGAAAAAGTTTAATCTCGAGTTTAATTCATACCAACGGAGTTCCTCTACATAAAATACATGACCATTTAGCCATTATAAAACCTGGGGACAGGAAAAAACCTATCAGGACCAGATGCCTTACAAGTGATTGTCAACTTGGACGGTCTGATAATAATGAACGATAGTGACACCTTAATAAATAAGTTGAAACGTCAATGTGACAATATGTAAACCAACTACTAATTTACGACCTGCCTTAATTTTGCTATGACGTCAGATAGTGTGACGAAAGGTTCAGCACCCTTGAAACAAAGTATATCAACAGGATGGTATCTGCATTCCAATTGACTGATAATCCTTAACAAATGATAGTTTTGACATGCATACCACACAACTCATGATTCCTCACTGTTCTATTTTTTACACTACGGTTATACTAACCAAATATTTCTGAATTAATTCTGATCCCACCACTCGCAAAAATGTAGCAGAAGTTTGATTAGCTACCGCTTTTGCCAGTAAAGTTTTACCCGTTCCTGGAGCACCATACAAAATTACACCTTTTGGTGGTTTAATACCTGTAAATAACAATATAGACAAGTCGCAGACAATACATTAAACTTACCCATTTCTTCGTAGTATTCTGGATGAGTTAGCGGTAATTCGACAGATTCCTTAATTTCTTGAATTTGCGAATCCAACCCGCCAATATCAGCATAAGTTTCTTGCGGCGCCTTCTCCAATTTCATTACTGTGACCATTGGATCGGTATCATCTCCCAAGACTCCAACGACGGCGTGGACCTTATGATTTAAAAGTACAGAGCAACCTGGTTCTAATTGATCTTTATCTACGAACGATAAAATGCTAACGTAGTGTTCACTTCCTACGGATGTAGAGACAATAGCATGATTATCGTCAATAATCTCTTCCAGGGTTCCGACCGACATTGGTGTGCCTCTAAGATCGTCAACCTTAGACCTTTCTTCTTCATTTTTCTCTTCTTGAGGCTTTAAATGCTCTTGATTCCTTATGAATTCCTCCTCCATTAATAGGTAATCTTTAATTCGTTCAAGTTTTAATAATTTTAGCCTGCATCGAGTGTGAGGAGTGACTGCTGGCAGTTTTAATGCAGTATCCGGACCTTTGGTTTTGCGCTTCTTTTTACCTACTCGTGTCGGAATTGGGGGTTCATATTTCTTCTTTTTGTCCTTCTCTTCTTTCTTTTCTCCACTACCCGGACCAGAATGGTTTTGTCCCTAGCAGGAAGAAAAGAAATAACCTCATTTCAAATTCATAGGCATAATATTGGTACAGATAAATATTAATATGAACAATCATAGTAAATAATTTAAATTATTCAAAAATAGCTTACCATTTTTATTACTTTATTTGTTTAATTGAAAATTTTTATTTTCAAAAAGTACACTGTCATGAACAGACAAAATTTATTTCAATTGTACCAACCATATTACCATAAATAAACCACGATGCCAACTCTTTGACTCAAATTTTTTAGTGGTATTGCTCGTTACCAGTGGCGCAACAAACGTCAGGAATCATGTTTAATGCCACAGTTCAAATAAATTTGGAAATCTTGCATCAACACAAAAAGACATTCAATTCTAACTACACTCTACCATTATAGAGAATCAAACACGCTTTAAACCTCTAATCAACAGAGATTTAAGTATCATCAGAGGAACCCTTTCGCCTTTGAAAATGGAAATATCATGGAGTCATGACTGTTTTTGTCCAAATGCAAAGCATTTAAAACCACATTTTATATCATAGGAATTGCAAGAAATGAATTCTTTGACTAAATTCTTCTTTTTCCAAAATTGTGACCAAAAATGCAACTAAATAAATTTAATCCCCATCCGAGGAACAAAATTTCAAAAGGCCATGTATGATTTCCTACTCGATTTTAATTTTAAATTTCTTGGGGCATTTAGCGAAATGTGGTACTAAACTAATTAAAAGTTAGTATCGATATTGATAAATCAATATGAAGGTGAAATTCATAATGTTATAAAATTACTTCTTAATAAACCCCCAGTTGAAAAGTTGTTCACTTTATCGTTATACATTGTAAAGTACTTGTACAGACAAAACACTAAAAATTGTGTAAGCATATTACATGTATACATTTCAACGTCAATAAACATTTTTGGAACATTGTTCACCAATTTTTAAATTTGATACAGGTATAACAATGACAGTTTGCTTAGAAAAACAAAATACTATGGTGCACAGGAAAATTGTATGCAACTTAAGATCTATACATTTGCATTTGTAAAGCAAAAGCAATAGCAATTAAAATTTTGGAACAAATCTGTTATCATTGCGTACTTATACAAACTTGTGAGGTTATTCTATCAAAATTTACAAGCACTGTAGCAGTATTTATTTAAAAAAAAACTTGCGGTTACAAAGGGTAGAATCTTAAGATAATTTAATGAATACCATTGAAATCTTTATAACATGATCAATAAGAAAACGATAAATTACAATAATAATGCGACTGAAACAATAAGTCTTATAGTAGGCAAGTAAAAAAATTACACCTTCCGTTTTTCCTTAGATTTTAATAATTCTTTTGTTTCCATTCGCCTGACCCTTTTGGAATCGAACGTCGACCGACCTTTAAAATCCTTCGGGTGATGTTCGGGTAATTTTTTACTAGTTGTTGGCTTCGCGGTCACATTTAACACATCTAAATCCCAGGAGTCTTGTGGATTATTAGAACTAGGAAGCAATTTTGGTTTACGATAAACTGTGGTAGATTTCACTTTCTTTACTTCTAATATTTGTAAGGCCTGTTTAACGTTAGCGGGTAAATATTCAATTTTCCAGCTACCTTCGCTCGATGAAACCTTTTCTGGTATACACTCAACCGAGATGACAGGTGGATTCTTTTTACTTTTGCTCTTGGATTTCAAACCTTCAGTCTTTTCTAATTTACTGTACTTACCATGTAACTGTTCATCTAGATCATCCGACATTTCAGAATCACTTGCAGGTTTAGGCTTGGATTTTTTCCCATCTTTACTTTTAGGCCTTTTTTGACTTTGACTCGGTGCTTCAAGTTCTAAGGTATTCTTACTGTTGGATTTCTTCTTTTTAGTTATTTTCGTATCTTCTTTTACTATGGATTCCGCTAACTTTGTCCGTTTGGATTTTTTGGTTCTAATGTCATCACTTTCGTTTTCTGCAGACGTTGATGGTTCTGCAAAGACGTTCTCAGATTCAGAGATCAGCTCTCTCTTTTTATTTTTTTTGCGACCTTTTTGAGAGACAATATTGTCCTCTTTTCCGGACAATTCAAAAGTATGGTTTAGGTTTGTGCCAAGTGAGGATGCAATATTCTCGTCGTTTTTCACATCTGTACTTGACTTTTTCTTTCCAGATTTCTTTTTGAGCTTCGTTTCTACGATTTGCATTGACTGAATATCACTATGTACAGTATTAGTAGAATCAGAAAGGTTTCGTTGCTTTTTGGGAGTAATCTTTGTCTCCTTAGCAGACTGGTTCTCTTCAGTTACTATAAACGCTTCACACAGGCTTACCTTCTTCCTGGGAGAGAGAGTTGTACCGCCATCGGTTTCAACATTCAAAGATTGTTTCTTTTTTTTAGGACTCCTTTTTGGTTCTGGAATAACTATATCCTCAAGTATATTAATACGTTCTTCTTCTGGCCTAATTTGAGGTATACCCAACTTTTTAGGTGACGATTCTGTAAAGCTGTTCCTTTGTTTATTAGGGAGACTCACATCCCACACATTCGCCTGTTCATCACTATTGATTTTTGTTTTCTTTGAGGGAGACCGAAGGGTTTCATTTTGGGTCTCAACCACAAATGGATCATTGCTTCTCCTTTTGTTCGATAACCGCCCACTGTCCTTTGAAAGTCTTTTTTTGGCCTGATAAAATTCTACTCCACTGTCAGAAAGTACCCGCTTTCTCCCCACCGTTTCATCATCATTTTCTCGTGGAGGTGAAGTACCTATATAATCCAAGGAAAGATTGAGAGAAACATTCCCAGATGATACTTCATGAGGCTGATTAACAGTGGAGCAAAAGGCTTCAACTACCTTCAAAATACGATCACTAACACTTCCATCTGCTATTTCCGCCACAGTCACATTCTCTTTTATATTAATTGACGATTTCCTGCGTCTTTTAGTTTCTGTAAGGGATACATTTTCATGTAAAATGCTGTTGTTGGGGGTGTTTAGCGTTTGATCAGATTGTATATTTGTAGTTTCACTTATTTTCTGAACGACTGATTTTTCCGGCGTAACAGGATCTTTTTTGTGCTCCTTAATGTGTTCTAAACTTTCCAAATTGTCTTCCTTATTTATTAAATTGGCCGTACAAATTTCCTCTTCAAGTCTATTAGTTTGTAGTGTCTCGTCACATTCTGGCGAATCTCTAATCGATATGGCTACAGGTGGAGATAGGCCACAGTACGGTCTTGTCGACATATTCTCCATGTCGGAATCCTCTTTGGCTTTATTTGCTTCGGTCTCACTATCTGCAATATGGATGACCTGTTCTTCTTCATCTTTCTTGCATTCTTCATCTGAACTATCTGGTATCTGTACTATTCGTTTTTTTAATTTACCAGTCTTTTTAGGTTTCTCTTGGCCCAAGTCATATTCTTCACCAGACAGCAATTCAAGCTCTTCTTCATCATCATCAATGAAAGAGTCCACTTCGTAGCTCTCTTCGCTGTCTATTTCAGATGCAGTGCTGCCAACAGATTCGCCTATATCGATAATATCGTTGCTCCCTTCAGATGGGGTGTCTTCTTCGCCTTCCTCTGCCATGTCATCAATATAGTGTGTCACAGATTCTGCGTCACTACTGCTATCAATCTCTAATGCTTCAGTAAGAGTGGAAATTTTTTCTTTTAGTGCAGGATCTAAATCCAAATCGATAGTGGAATTGAAGGTTTTATTAAGCTTTTCGTCTGTATTAGACCGATTTTCCACTACATTCTTCACACAAATGTCTTTACTAGCAGCTATATCTTCGCATACTGTTTCACGATTGTTTTCAACTGGTGAGCTTGCAATGTCAATACTATCCTTAATGCTTGAACGTGAAGGCAAAGCCGTATCTTCGGATACTTTCTCTTGGTCGTTTTTGTCTGGTGAGCTTGTAATGTCAACACTATCTTTCATGCCGGAATGTGAAAGTAACCGTGGACTTCTTCGCAGAGGAGTTATAGTACTTGCTACTAGGACAGGACTTGGTGCATTAGGAGTGTCCAATTTTGTCTTATGGGAAGGAGAGTCCAATTTTTTCTCTAAAGAAGTTCGTTTTGGAGAATCTTTTTGTGAACTTTCCACAATATTTTCACTGAGATCTTCTTCATCAACTAATGCATGTTTACTTGAAGATGACGATAGAGATTTTTCGTGTGGGATCGCTTTTGACATGGTTTTGGATTTAGGAGTGCCTGGCACATCTGGTGGAAGATCTGTGCTGCTATCTTTAAGAGATTTCAGTGTTGACTCCTTTGAAGTGTTTAGTACAGCTTCATCCGAAAGAGTCGATACTTTCTCCACTGTTGAACTTGATGGATCCTTTTCAGGTTTGCGATGCATTTCCTCTTCCTTTTCAGCTTGAGTGAATTCTTGTATATCCATACTTTCCCTTACTGTGGTTTTGGAAGGTGTTGCAGTAACATCTACATCCATAGGTTCATCAAAAGAACTTTCAACTATCGACTGTTCAGTGTTTACCATTTCCGCTTGTTTATCTTCAAAACTGTTCAATAGTCGTTTCTCTGCGTCCTCAACATTTTCTTTTTCAAGCGGATCACCAATCTCTGCGGTGGTATCCATGCCCGAATGTGATTTACGTTTAGGAACTTTAGCACCCGTAGATTGTTCTGTTGAATGTGACACAGTTTCTTTTTCACCTGAAGAATCGGTATTGTGAAGCTCATCTTCAGATTTTTCACATAAATCTGTAACAACTCCTTTTCCCTCTGATGAGCTGATATCATGAAGCAAAATAACTAGTTTTTTTTCTTCAGCCAAGGCACTCTTTTCTGTGCCAGAAACAACTGATGCTTCAGAATCTCCAATGGCATTTCCTTTTTTTTCTTCCAAATGCACACCACCATTAACTTTAGTGTGCCTACTAACCTCATCTGGAACGTTTTCAGTAATCGTTTGCAGTAGTACAGCTTTTTTCTTTTTAAAAGGTAAATCTTCATCTCTCGTTTCTTCTGTTGAAATGCTAGTTCTCGGTGATTTGGTTTCGACCTCTTTAATAGATTCCAGCGTAACAGGTTCAATTAAGGCGGACGTTCTTCTTCTGCCTCTGACCTCTTTCTGAGGGGTACTGCTTTTTAGTACATTTTCCATTTCTGTTATAGGCGAGCAACTCATTGAGCGACCTGAAGTACGCCTACCGATTTTAGGAGGAATAGGCGAGGACCGGGCCATCGTCTCCAATTCTTCCTCGATTAAACTTGAAGTAGATCCTGAAAAGTGATGAA